CTTCCTGCAGGGGATGGAGGCCTCGGGAGCCCCGCATGCACTGCACTGCCATAGCTTGGAGGTTTCTGGGGTGGTCCCGTCCCTTTGCACAGCTCAGCCCCCATCCAAGTGTAAGATTTGCTTGCTGAGCCCCAAGCTGCCACGCTCCTGCGTAGGCCTGGAGGGACACCAGGGAGAGGTGCCTGCAGCTGCTTGCCTACCAGGACCCACGGCGATGGGGACACTGGGAACTGGAACGGCAAGGGCAGGGCTGTCAGGGACATCAGCAATAGGATCACCAGGGACGTGGATACCAGAGACAGGGACACCAGGAATAGGGACACCAAGAATAGAGATGGCAGGGAGGAGGACACCAGGAGCGCAGACTCTGGGAATAGGGACAGCAGAAAGGGAAACGAAGGGACCTGGAGCACGCGGTGCAGGGCTGAGGCAGGCTGGGTGTCCAGAGGATGGCAGCAACCAGAGGTGCCCAGGACCAGGCAGCCCAACCTCAGACACGGGTGCTGCACCCAGTAGCCGGTAACCACGGCAACAGCAGCATCGTGGTGCTCACACCCTGAGTTACAAACCACTTCTGGCTAAAGAGACGCATGAGACCCCAGCCCGGCTGCTGTCACAGCACTGATACCAAAATCAGCACCATGGGAACAGTGATGGGATGCGTCCCTACTCAGGCCACAGAGCACCCCAGCCCCACAGGCTGCAGAACGTCCCCCAGCCCTTCATTCAGTCTCCCACCACACCATCACCACAAGCACTTACTGTCATCATAGCTCTTTATAATAAAGATGTATTTACACAGAACAATTCTTTACAGACGTGACAGACGCGGTGACCAGCAGGGCCCGGCACCGCTGCGGCCCTTTTGGGGTACATCAGTGCTTCCTGCAGAGCCCCGGGGGGTGGGAACCCCACAGGGCAGCTCACACGGGGTCAGCATCACAGGAATAAATAGACCCCTCTGGGAGGGGATGGGGCAGGGCCCCACGGAGAGCTCCTCCGCCAGACAAAGTGCTTTACGCAGAGCCCCCGGACCCGGCACACCGGGGCACGGGGCACTGGGAGAACACGGTGCCAGAGCCACCAGGGACAGCTGCAGGGAGGTGATGCCAGCTCAGGGACGAGCAGAGCAGGCAGTGGGGATGCATCCTTGGAGCGCTGGCGGCGGTCCTGCAAGGAGAGCAAAGGCCGTCAGGATGAGCGAGCTGTGGGCAGCGCCACGCGTGTCCCCTCCGCGTCACTCACCTCCATCAGAAGGGCATGGGGCCCTTATGGGACAGCCGTGGCCGGGGACGGCGGAGCCTCCTCCACCCTCCTGGCCGCCGCACGTTCCCACGCCGCGCACCCCGTGGCCGCACCAGCGTTCGGATGAGGCCGTCCTCGGGATCCATCCCGTCCAGCCCCGCTCCCAGCGGCCCTGGGGATGGCAGAGCAGCGTGAGCGGATGCCCTGCCCACCCGTGGGGTGGGGATGCTCCAGGAGCTGGGCAGCATCTCCTCAATCACCCTCCCGGCAGGAGCCAAGCGCCCCAGAGAGCGAGCGCTTCCTGCAGCCAGATGGCCGGGTCACCTGCACGGTGCCACCGCTGTCACCACAGGGCACGGCAAAGCCCCGATCGGGCTTCGATCTCAGCCCCCCACCCCGGAGCCACACAGCTCGGGGTGACGGCGGAGATGCTCCGGTACCTCCAGCACGTGGATGGCACCAGAGACGGCGCGGCCGCCCCCCGGCACCCGGTGGCACAGGCGGCTCCCGGCCGTCGTTCGGCCTCCCTGCCTTCGGGACAGTCCGCGGTTTGTTGCCACCGTGAAAAGCGCTTTGTCCTCTCCCCCCCCCACTCCCGGGGATCGACGGCTCTGCCTCCCCCCGCCCTCCCGACCCCGCACGGCTCTCAACCCCGCACTCACCCGCGGACGCGGCGCTCAGCGCGAGGCAGAAGAGCAGCAGCAGCGCCAGCAGCCAGCGGCGCGCCGCCATGCTCCGCCCTGCGCGGGGACACAGACACGCGAGGACACGGACACGCAGGAGGCGGTGGCCCCGCTCCGGGATCGCCGCATTTGTAGGCGGTGAGAGCCCGGCCCGGCCCCGCTCCCGCCCGGTCATGTGGCCGCCGGTACGGGGGAGGGGGGTCCGCAGCTCGCCCCGCCCCGCTCCGCCCTCTCAGCGCTGCAGCCCCCCGGGGTGCCCAGGGGGTGGCGACCGAAGGGACGCGGGGGGCGCCGAGGATGCTCGTGGGGAGGGTCGGCCCCGCGATCCGCCGGGGAGCAAAGGGAGGGACTTCAGAATGAGTGAGGTCGGCAAAGAGCTCTGAGCCCACCCTCCCCCCCCCCCCCACGCCCCCCGCATCAGCCCGCAGTGCGGCCGGGGGTGGAAGCCGGGGGGAGCTGGGGGTGACGGTGCCAAACCACTGAGTGAGGAGTCGTGGCGGCCCGACGGGGTCGCGCTGTCTGAAAAAGTGGAGAAAGGGGGGAAAGAAAAAGGAAGAGCCAGGAAGCTGCAGGCCGGGCGGTGTCACTGCTGTGCCCGTTGTGCTGCTCATGGAGCAGATCCTCCTGGAAGCTGTACGAGGTGCTCAGAGAGCCCAGAGGTGATGGGGGAAGGATAGGATCTGCTGATCCCCAGTGCTCACGGTGCTGGTGGGCACAGACTGATGCGGCTCACCCAGAGCTTTGGGGATGTCCTGCTGCCTCTGCACGATGGAGACGTGGATGTGGCAGATGGAGAACTGCTCAGTGGATAAGGGCTTGATTGGGTTGCACCCAGAGAGCTCCACAACTCTGTGTGCAAGTGGGGAGCAGCAACCAGTGGTGTCCAGGGCTCTGGGGGGGGACCAGAGTGATTTAACAGCTCTGTGACAAGGACAGGAGGCTGAGCACACCCTCAGCAGCGCTGCAGATGTCACACAGCTGAGTGGTACAGTGGAGGAACTGGAGGAGATGGATGCCATCCAAGGGGGCCTGTGGGCCTCATGTGGGCCCTTGTGAATCTAATGAGATTTTAATGAGACCAATGGGCTGCACCTGTGTCAGGTCAAACACAGAGGTGGGTAAAGAGGAGAAAGAAAAGTTCCTGGAGAGGAGCCCTGGGAGCTGGTGGGTGGGAGGTTCAGCTGAAAGGGGGATTTTGCATCAGAGGTAAGGTGGAAATGCTTTGCTTGGGGGGGGTGGGGGGGGGAGAACTGTAGGCAGCCCCTGGAACATGGCAGAGGGCACAGACAGTAGCACCAAAGGCTCCCCTGCCAGCAGGAAGCATTCATTTGCTGTATGTGGGGCAGAGCAGTGCGGGGCACGGCACACAGAGGGGACGGTGGGTGTCTGTCCTTGGAGGTGAGCTCCATCAGGGTGAGCTCCTGGCATGCTGCCTGGGGTGTCCTGCAGTGGGATCTTTCCAGCTTCAGGTGCTCCATGCAAGTGAGGGCTGTGGAGGTGCGAGATGCCTGCGCAGGGCCTCCCAAAACCACCTCTACACCAACACTGGTGTGGTGACCACTGATGTGCAGCTGGACACAGATCTGATTTTGCTGGCAGATAGAGGTAAAGGAACAGCTTTGCATCCCAACAGAGCTGCAGTGCTCCAGAGCTGCTGTGGGTTCAGCTGGAGGTGGGTGCCCTGTGCCCTCCCGCAGCGCTCTGCATCGCCGATGGATCCCCAGCCCCCTTCACAGGGGATTTCCCCTGGACCCCAATGCTCCTACACCACCTTCCGCATTCCTGGGGTCCCAGGGGTTCCCTCCCTCCCTCCCACCCCACGTCCTGTTTGCTCGGGCGCATCACCCCGGCCTGAGTCACCCCACAGCCCCGCAGGTGGCGGAAGGCTAACAATAGCCCACAAAGGGAGGATGTCTCCCCCAAGCCTTCCTCTGGGCCCGTCGTCGAGGAAAGCTCCCGGGGGGGGAGGGCTGGGCCCCACCGGACGCACAGTGGATGGGCTTCGTCCGGTCGAGGCCGCTCTAGAGCTCAGAGCAGCCCCCGGTGAGCGGGTCGGGGTCCCTGGGGAAGGCTGGAGGAAGAGGAGGAGGAGGATGTGCAGCATCGTTAGCACGTTTTGTTAATTAGCAGGACGGAAGCGAAGCGATGCCTGATGGTCACCGTGGCAACCGCATGCCGCATCCTTGAGAAACTTCGGTTGCTGTGATGATCGCAGGGACCTCGTGGTCACCGTGTGCCCCCACCCAGCCCCGTGCAGGGGCTCCCGCACAGCCCAACCGCACGGGAGGACCAACAGAGGGTCTCCGGGGTGACAGCGGCCTGGCCGGGAGCATCGGTGACATGCATATGCCCGGCCTCGGCTCGGTGCCGTTCACAGGGGCAGGATGGCGGTGATGCCTCCGGGTCCCGCTGTCGCCTCGCCTCCGCGCAGCGCGGGGACACGGCCGGGACCTGCGGTGCGGTCGTGGTGCCATCTCGTGGCCGACAGCTTCGCACTGACACCGCGGGACGGTGCATCGGCAGGGCGGGCTGCTCACAAAGCGGTTCGTTGTTCATTTCCTGTAGGACCCACCCGGCATCCCGCCGTTCTTCGACCCCGGTTGGAGCCGCATCCCCACCCGAAGATCCCCATCACCCCCGCAGCCGCGCTGCGCAGAGCCCGTCCCGCAGGGGTGTCCCCGTAGCGGGAGGACATCGCGCCCCACCGGCGCGGCAGGATTCGTCCTTTCGCTGGATGTGATCTGGAGAGCCGAGCTCTGCCCTTCTCCATAGCGGGGCCGGAGGACGGCAGCACCGTACCCTCACCCCGTGCTGCTCAATGTCACTTCCCTCCAGGCCGACGGCACGGGCGGGCTGAGCGGGATGCAGCCGTGAGCGGCCGTGCGTGCCATCCCTCTCCCCCTGGCAGGTGGTTTTGGGGCAGTGCAGCCCCCCCTGGTTCGCCCGTGGCCAGCAGGGACGTGCCAGGCTGAGCTGGCACAGCCGCACCTCTGCTTTCTGGAGACCTTTGGACTCGGTGCTGATTGAGCTGTTTGCTCTTATCTGGTTATCTAGAGAGCAGAAGCGCTCGGTGAAGAGGACAACGACCCCCGGTCTCTGCCCGGGGCCTCGGCATCCCTCCGCCCAAGGGGCAAAGGCGCAGGAGGAGGGACCACGGCACCAAACGTCCCCTCCGCGTCCCTCAGCGCGGGGACAGCCATGCCGCCCTCCCGCTGGACAGCAGCCTGGCTGCTCCTGCTGCAGGGTACGGGGCACGCATCGCTGCGGGCCGGGCTGGGGCTGAGCAGGAGCCCGAGCTCCCGCTGAGGCTCAGAACCCCTCAGGTTGCTCCGTGGGACGCTCGCAGCTCGCCGCCTCCCCCAGGACCGACATCAGGGACTGCTCCGTGGACCCCCCGGTGAGCCCCTCGCGCACAGCCTGTGCCCACCCTGGGGTGCTTCGACGGCCCCCTGCCCAGCCCCACTCCTGCCTGTCCCTTTGTGCCACCAGTACCTGCCTCCCACGGCCACCAACAGCTCGGCACAGCTCAGCGCTCTGCGGGACGCCATGCGTGCCCATAACATCCATGCCTACGTCGTGCCCTCCACGGATGCCCACATGGTGAGGTGCCATCCCCACACACGCCGTGCCAGCTCTCGGATCTCCTCTCACCTCTCCATCCCATCCCCAGAGCGAGTACATTGCAGACAGGGATGCCCGCCTGGGCTGGCTCACAGGTTTCACCGGCTCTGCAGGTGGGAGCATCTCTGCTGGGCTCTGTGCCCAGCCCTGGGGGGATGTGGGCTGCTGAGGAGTGGGACTGGGGGAGAAACGATGCCTGAGACCTGCTGCCCCCCAGGCACCGGCGTGGTGACGGAGGACAGAGCAGCCCTGTGGACCGACAGCCGCTACTGGACGCAGGCAGAGAGGCAGCTGGACTGCAACTGGGAGCTGCAGAGGACCAGTCAGTGCAGGGAGGTGGGGGTGAGGGGCTGCCCACTGCCAGAACCCCCCCACACACACTGCTCTGCCTTGCAGCGTGGATTGAGTCCATCGGGACGTGGATCATGGAGTTGGTTCCTGCAGGGGGGAACGTCAGCCTGGACCCCTTCCTCTTCTCCATCGGTACGGTGGGCTGGCACCGAGGGGATGCTTCCTTATAGGGTGGTCGCTGGGTGATGCAGCCCCGTGGGCCATTCTCCCTGCAGACACATGGAAGAGCTACCAGGAGGCCCTGCAGGGCTCCGGCATCACCCTGCTGCCCATGGAGACCAACCTTGTGGACCAAGTGTGGGGCAGCCAGAGACCCCCTTTACCTTCCGGCAACATCTACAGCCTCCCAGAGGAGTTCACAGGTACGCCTCTCACCCGTCTCTGCTCGCTCAGAGGAGGGCCATGCACTGAGCCCCCCTCCCTCACCCCAGGGAGCAGCTGGCAGGAGAAGGTGGCTGGGATCCGGCAGCAGATGGAGGAGCACACGCGGAGTCCCACAGCTCTGCTGCTCTCAGGGCTGGAGGAGACGGCCTGTGAGTAGAGCACCAAGGTTGTGGCACTGCCCCAGGGGCATCGGGGTGGGCACAGCTCTGATGTCTCACCCCTGGCAGGGCTCTTCAACCTCCGCGGAGACGACATCCCCTACAACCCCGTCTTCTATTCCTACACCCTCCTGACCACCACCAACATCAGGTGGGCAGTGGCTGCTGTGGGGCTCACCCCAACCCTCCTCCCTTATCCCATTAGATTCCCCCCCTCCACCCGTTCCCCACGCACTCCTCGCATCCTGCAGCGCCCACCCCATCGCATCCCACCTCCAAGTCCTACATCTTTCCCAGAATCGATCTCACCCCTCCCAGTAAAACCCAGCGGTTCCCCTCAAGCCCCCCCAACCCCTTCCCCCTCATCACCATGCCCCTTTCCCAGCCTGTTTGTGGACTCTGCACGGCTGACAGCGGAGGCTCAGCAGTCGTTGCGCTCCGGCTGCCCGGGGCCGCTCTGCGTGGAGCTGTGGGACTACGGGCAGGTGAGCGCCCACCTCCATCACTACGCTCAGGGCAACGTCACCATCTGGCTGGGCACTGAATACACCACCTACGGCCTCTACAGCATCATCCCCCAGGTGAGGTTCACCACGAAATCCTGCAGGTGGGGCTGGGGGCAGGGGATGGGTTGGCTGCGTCCCACCGTTGTCACCTGTGCAGGAGAAGCTGCTGGAGGACAGCTACTCTCCGGTGATGCACGCCAAGGCTGTGAAGAACGCCAAGGAGCAGGAACTGCTGCGAGCAGCCCACGTAAGGCTGTGCCCATCCCTTCAGCCAGCTGCTCGGGGGGGGATGGTGACACCTCCCGGTACCACGGAGCTGCCCACAGGTTCGGGATGCGGTGGCTGTCATCCAATACCTGCTGTGGCTGGAGAAGATGGTGCCGCAAGGGCTGGTGGATGAGTTTTCGGGTGCCCGCCACATCGATGCCCTCCGCTGGTCGGTGCCTACCTGGGGGAGCAGCCGGCATGGGGCAGCAGGGACCCCCCCGCCACGACCCCCTTCCGCTGCCTTCCAGGGCACAGCAGCACAGCCACGGGCCCAGCTTTGAGTCCATCTCTGCCAGCGGGCTCAACGCGGCGCTGGCACACTACAGGTGTGGGGATGGGGAGGGAGATGCGCTGTGTGGGGACGCTTCGGATGGGTTCTCACCTCTCCCTTTTCCCCAGCCCAGCCAACGGCAGCAGCCGGCAGCTGTCAGTGGATGAGATGTACCTGGCGGACACCGGCGGGCAGTATCTGTGCGTAGAGCTCCCTGTCCCCTCTGTACCCGCAGAGCTGTGGGGTGATGGGGACCCACTCGCATCCCCCTTTGCAGGGATGGCACCACGGACATCACACGCACCGTGCACTGGGGCACGCCGACCTCGCTGCAGAAGGTGCTGGCGCTGTGGGATGGTCCCTGTGCTGTGGGGCAGGAGGACGCCCCACACACCATCGCGCTCAGCCCCTGATTCCCTTCTAGGAAGCCTACACCCGTGTGCTGATGGGCAATATTGACCTCTCCCGCCTCGTTTTCCCATCTGACACAGCTGGTGGGTGTGCAGCTCGGTGTGGTGGGAGCAGGGCAGGGGTCCCATTGCTGCTCCCAGCTCTGTTCCACCTCCTCATCCTCCAGGGAGAACAGTGGAGACCTTTGCCCGCCGGGCGCTCTGGGAAGTGGGGCTCAACTATGGCCATGGAACCGGGCACGGCATCGGCAACTTCCTCTCGGTGCACGAGTGTGAGCACTGGGGGTGGGATGGGATAGGAGGGAGGGGGCACGCAGTGTCCCAGTGAGCCATAACCCACCCTGTGTCCCTCACAGGGCCGGTGGGCTTCCAGTCCAACAATGTGCCGCTGACTGCAGGCATGTTCACATCCATCGGTGCGTGCGTCCAGCTGGCTCCTGCCGCCTTGGGGTTGTGAGGATGGTTGTGGGGCAGTGCTAAGGGTCCACAGCTTTCAGCCCAGGGGTGGGATGGGGTGGAGGTGCTGCCGGGGCTCAGGATGTGCTGGGCACTTTCCCCAGAGCCCGGCTACTACCAGGACGGTGAGTTTGGCATCCGCATCGAGGACATCGTGCTGGTGGTGGAGGCACAGACCAAGGTACTGCTGTACCCCTTCCAGGACTCTGCATGGGGCTGGGGGGCTCGGGCACGGCGAGAGGCTGGCAGTGCCACGGGGGCTGCAGCCACTTTCTGCCCTTCCCCGGCAGCACCTTACAGGGGAGAAGCCCTTCCTGACCTTTGAGGTGGTGTCCCTGGTGCCCTACGACCGCAACCTCATCGACGTCAGCCTCCTGTCACAGGAGCACGTATGGGAACCGGGACAGGCAGAGCTGAGGTGGGCGCACGGGGCTGGGATGGGGATGGACACTGAGATGGAGATGTGTCTGCCTGCAGATCCAGTACCTGAACGCCTACTATGAGACCATCCGTGCACGTGTGGGGCCGGAGCTGCAGCGGCAGCAGCTGGAGGAGGAGTACAGCTGGCTGCAGCGAAACACTGAGCCCTTCCCACTGAGCAGCGCTGCCTCCACCACCACCGCCATGCTGGCCATCACCTCCCTCATCTCTGTGCTGCTGGCCGAGCTGCAGGCCTGATCCTGCCACCAACAGCCAGGGACGTTTCTTCTCCCTGTTGCTCGCTTCCTCGTTATGTCCTTTTTTTTTCTTTTAATATTTGTTCTTTGCACTTAAACGGCGTCAATGCTGGGTGTGTGCATCAGTGCGCTGGGGCTGTTTGAGCGTGACCCAACCCTGTGCCCCACGCAGGGCCTGGCCAAAGTGCCCGGCAATGGGACGTGATGGGCACGGTGGGAACCTCGTCCTCTGCTCGGGGACGCGCGGAGCCCAACAGAAGCGGTGGGGATGGGTGCGAGGGTGTGAAAACGGCGCCGCTCCGGGGCTCTGGGCAGGGCGGCCGCTTCGAGGAGAGCTTCCTTCCTCCCGGCCCAGGCTGCGCGCCCCGAAGTTGAGCGGCTCGGAGCTCTCATGTGACCGCCGGCTTCCTGTGCGCTTCCCAGCTGCGGTGCCGACGCTTCGGTCCGTGCCCCGCCAGGCGCTGCGCCGTACTCCGGCACCCAGCACCATGCTGCGCCGAAAGCCCTCCAACGCCGGCGAGAAGGAGCCGGGCCACAGGAAGGTGAGCACCGGGACCGGCCCGGGGATGGCCGTCCTTCACCGATGGGACTGAGGGCTGAGAGCACCGGGTGATGCGGTCTGCGCGTCCGGGAGGATGGGATGGAGAGGGGCAGAGGTGGCACTGCCAGCAGCCGCCAACGACACGCAGCCCCGCGAACGCACGGCTGGGCTGGGAGCTGAACGTGCAGCCGCCGCCACCCAGCGCCCGCACAACGCGGGGCGGCAGCAGGGCTGCATCCTCGGGGCCCAGCTGTGATGTGGGGCTGGGGATGCTCAGACCCCTAAACGACTGCGGGCACCCGTGGGGTCGTGCCGGGGAAGCAGCAGCTCCCCCTCTTCGCCGTTCTCTGCAATGTGGGCGGCCGCTGCCGTTTCCTGCCGGGGGGATGGCGGGGCTGCCGGGCACGGCTCCCAAGCAAGGTGTCTGCGGTCGAGGCAGCGCGAGGTTGCAGCCCCATCACGTGCATCCGCCGCTTCCTCCGGCAGCTCTGCACCGGCACGGAGCCCTCCGCCTGCGGGCAGGGCCTGCAGCAGCAGCAGCACCGTTGCTCTTTGTTAGTCTCCGTTGCAGGGCGCTCCCCGGCAGAGCGGAGTGGGGTCACTGCGCTGAGAAGCTCCAGGCTGCTGCGCGAACGGCTGCGCAGCATCCGACGGAGCAGGGCTGCCCTGCAGAGCCCCGCTGGGCATCCCCACCGCTCTCACTTCCCTGTCGCTCCTTGGCTGCAATGCTGCTGAGGGTGCAGCACAGGGCAGGGCCCCCCCCATTTACCCCCCCGCGGCCCCGAGCTCGCGGTTTGCCAACGCTGTGCCAGTGCTGTTGCAACACCGGCTCCTCCCCAGCGTGGGGCCGGCTGTGCAGTGAGGCCGTGGTGCCAACTGCAGTGCCGGGAGCTGCTGTCACACAGGGATGCGGAGGAGACACTGAGAGCTCACAGTGCAGGAGCAGAGAGAAAATAAAATGGGTGCCCAGTGGAGCTGGCAAAAAGAAGAACCGGGTGGGGAGGTTGCTAGGCCATGGTTGAGGGCAACGCTGCCACACTGGGGGTGAGCAGAGAGCCTCTCCTGGCAGCACAAAGAGCCCTCACCCCCTCCCCACGCCCCCAGCTCTCCCTGCAGCGTTCCAGCAGCTTCAAGGACTTTGCTAAATCCAAAGTCAGCTCCCCGGTGACAAGCGAGAAGGAGTTCAACCTGGAGGAGAATGTAAGCGTCTGTCCCTACCCACAGCCCTTCTCCAAGTCCCACGTGCCATGGGGCACCCAGGGGCCAGGCATTGCCCCAGTCTGGAGCCTTGGGAGCCCCCCGTGCCCTCCCCTCTCTCTCTCCCCGCAGATCCCTGAGGATGAGCCCAGCGGTGCAGGCCCTGAAGAGGCGGCTCAGGGCAGCAGTGGTGGGATGAAGCTGGGCAAGAAGTGGCGGGCCATCATCTCCCGCACCATGAACCGCAAGATGGGCCGCGTGGCCGTGCGGGCGCTGGCTGAAGGGAAGGTGAGAGCGGGGCTTGGGGCTGCGGGGCAGCCGTCCCCGCTTCCCAGCACCAAGCCCACTCCCCACAGCAGGCAGAGGTGGAGGAAGAGGGGTGTCCATCTCCCCTGCCCTCAGCTGGCGCAGAGGAGCCGAGCCACGAGAAGATGCCGCTGTCCTACTTTGAGATGGAGGAGGACGTGCACCCGTCTGTCAGCCGCCAGCTGTCCAGCGGTGAGCACAGCATAGGCCCCAAGTGTGGCCCTGAGATCGGCACCAATGCTGAGCGCTCCCATCCCCTTGCAGGCAGTGAGGGGCTCAGCCCCGGCTCCACCAGCCAGGACAGCCCGCGCTTGGAGGACAGCAGCCCAGCCTACACCGGGCCCTTCTGCGGCAGAGCCCGCGTGCACACCGACTTCACACCCAGCCCTTACGACAAGGACTCTCTGAAGCTGCGGGTGAGGGCCGGGGGGGGCTGGGGATGTCTGAAGGGAGGTGGGCACGGTGGTGGGGGGCTCAGGTTGGATGTCACGCTGCCGAAGCTGCGGCGGGGTCACCATCGCCGGTGTGCTCCAGATTGTGGGGATGTGGCACTGAGGGACGCAGTGATGGGCACCGTGGGGTGGGCTGGGGATCTGAGAGGGTTTTTCCAACTCAAATGATGCTGTGATTCCTTGGATCAGAAAGGGGATATCATCGGCATCATCGAAAAGCCACCCGTGGGCACCTGGACGGGGCTGCTTAACAACAAAGTGGGCTCCTTCAAGTTCATCTATGTGGATGTCATCCCTGAGGAGGCAGCCCCCACCCGCAAGAGCCGAGGCCAGGCCAAGAGCAAGCGGCTCAAGCCCAAGACCCTCCACGAGCTGCTGGAGCGCATCAACCTGCAGGTGAGGGCTGGGGGGGGACAGGGACTGCAGTGGGGCAGGGGCAGAGCCCGCCCGGCCCATAGGGGACGGTAGGGGATCACACGGGTAGCCCAAGAGAGCAGTAGGGATGGGATGGGATAAGAATCGGAGCACCATAGGAAGGAAAAGAGGAGCCTCCGTTCTGCTTCCGCGCTCTCCCATCCTCTGGGTCCCTCTGCTTCGTGCCTGAGCGTGGCTGAGGACAGAGGGGATGCGTGAGGCTGGAGCAGGGCTGGGATCTCCATCGTGCTGCTCCCTGCTCCAGGAGCACACCTCCACGCTGCTGCTGAACGGCTACCAGACTCTGGAGGACTTCAAGGAGCTGCGGGAGACCCACCTCAACGAGCTGAACATCACCGACCCCCAGCACCGCGCCAAGCTGCTCACAGCTGCTGAGCTCCTCCTGGATTATGACAGTAAGGGCTGGGCAGGGATGTCCCACGCTGGCTCTAGCCTTGGTGGCGAGGAGCAAGCTGATGGCTTGATGTTTTGTCCTGTCCCCCAGCAGCAAGCAGTGATGCGGAGGAAGGGGACGGCACCACCGAGCAGCATTCGCCCTCGGAGCCCAAGGGGGACATTCCCCGGGACTCGGGCTGCTTCGAGGGATCCGAGACCCTGGATAGCAGCCGTGAGGAGGCCGAGCTGCCGAGCCCTGAGGGGCAGCTGCAGGCTGTGTCCCTGGCGGAGTCCTCCTGAGTCCCCGCCGTGCTTTACAGGCTCTGGTGTGGCAGTGGACAGAGGGGAGAACTCGGTGGGGTGCGGGTGAGCCCCAGGGATGAAGGCACACTGCAGGACTCTGTGCTGTAGGTGGGTCGATCCCCCAGGTGTGCTGCTCCAGGACGTTCCGTGCTGCCTCACGCCACCATCCCACGCTGCAGGTGCTCCAGGCACTGCAGGAGAGTGCCAGAGATGCTGCAGGTCTGTTTGCCAGGGCTGGGCTGCCCCATTTCATCCACAGCTTCAAGAGCTCCTCTGGGAGCTCACATCTGCCAGGCCAAATAAATGGCAGCGCAAAAGAGCCTGTAAGGACAGGGATAGCATGGACAGAGCAAGCACAGCACTGAGCAAATCAAGCAAGCAAGCAGAGGCATCGAGGCAACATCTCTACCAGCAGGACTTGGCTTTCCCCAACCACCATCCTCACACAGCCAAAGCAGGTGGAGGAAGGTGTGCAGGAGGTTCAGCCGAGCCCTGTGAGCAGCCCAGCAGGGTACCAGGAGGCAGCCCATGTTCCAGAGGGGCTGTGAGGAAGGGGGCTGAGCACTGTGCTGCCTGAAGGTGACCCCACGCAGGTCCCCACACTTCCCACAGCCCTGCAGGATGCGACAGGCTGGTCCCTCCCAGCATCAGCTGCTCCAGGCATCCCTGCAAAGGGGTGGAGGAGCTGTAGCACCACCGGGGCAATGAGCTGATGAGGAGTGTGTATCACCTGTAACCAAACCCTGGGGTTGTGGGGGACTGCAGCATTCAGACAGCTCAGGCCCTCACAGCTGCATTCAGTCACCTCCAGCTCCCACACTGTGGGACCACTGTGGTGGATCTCTGAGCCTCAAGTTTGTTCCTTTACGCTTGATCCCAATAAATGCGTGCTCTGGCCTTCAGCCTGCTTCCTACCTACCCCAAAGGCTTGGGGAGAGAGATGGGGACCGAGCAGTGCCTGTTCAGTGAGGCTGCAGGCAATTTATCTTCCCAGAACCAGCTCCTGCTGCACTGGTGGCCACGTTCGGGGGAACAGCAGGACACAGGTAAGACAAGGGCTGGCTCCAGCACTGCATGGATGTGTGAGGTGCACGGGGGGACGAGGAAGGAAGCAGCTCGCTGGGTGAAGCACAGACAAACAGAGGCAGAGGCTACAGCTCAGCCATTTTCCAAAGCAATTAAGTTTCCTTTGTTGTTTAAAAAAAAAAAAAAGAAGAAGAAGAAAAAACAACCCTCACCCTACCCCCACTTCCTTCACAAGAACCTGAACAGAGCAGACAGGAACCACAGGTGCAGGCAGCATCCGTGACAGCCTAGCAGGCAGCACTTGACACACTGAGTTAGAAAATAGATTAGCACACCCCCCAAAATACACTTTTTTTTTTTTTTTTTTTTTTTTTTTTTTTTTTCAATGAGATTTGCCCAGTTAAGAGCATTGGTGCAGGCAGGAGAGGTGTGTAAGGGCAGTGGGGTCGCTCCAGATATGCAG